TTGTCCCCCCCCCCCCCCCGCAGCTGTCCCCACTCACTTGAGGGAGAGAGAGAACTCATTTTTGCTGGTCTCGCTGTTGCGCACCAGGTAGCTGGCCTCTTTGCACAGCCGGAGCAGGTTCTCGGCGTCTGTTCGGCTGATGGCCCCGTGATACCAGCTGAGGATGAAAGAGAGGAAGGGGGCATCTCTGCTGGGTCCCTTGCTGTCCAGGCCCACCCATTCTGGGTATCCTCTGCAGGGAAGCCAGTGCCAGGAGGGAAGGAGAGGGGAGGGAGGCCCCAGCTGGACAGAGACACTCACACCTGGTTTTCCAGAGGCAGAGCTGGATCTGTCCACTCCCCCAGGGGACTGCTGGGCTCCACACTTAGGGGCTTGGCTGACTTGGGGTTCCCTGCAGAGAGTCGGGGAGGAAGCCGCCCCTTCTCCTCCTGGCCAGGTGACAGGCAGCTCTTCTCCGATCCTTCAAACTGGGCTGCAGGGAACATACCAGTCACAGACTCTGAGGACCCCAGAGGTAGAGCCCTATTGAATAGCCAGTGCCCCACCCCCATTTCTTCCAGCCCCATGAGGGGTCAAAGGAATGCCTGGGAGGGCGCTGCATGCTCATGTAATCCTGGGTCCATCCCCAGTGGGGGTGGGGATAGGACAGGGGTGGGGTGGGACTCAGCCTCCCGTGCCACACAGGGCCTCTCCCAGTCCCCACGCTGTGGGAGGAGAGGGGAGAGAAGCAACATGAGAAACCACTTAAGCTTCTCCCTCTGGAGCAGCTGACTGCCTTCCCCTATTCCATCCCCCTCAGGGTGGCTTCGGCGCTGATAATATTGTTTCTTTCTCCTCCTCAGAGTTCATTACTGTTCTCCAAATCACCCTGCCAAGCCATTCTGTAGAAATGACTTATTGATCTGAGAACAATTACCCGATTCCCCTTGGTGCCATCCTGACAGGCTAATCCTGCCCAAAGCCGCCAGCCGGTCGTCCCCTCCCCCGCCCCCAAGGTCGCTGCCCACCGACTCCCCTCGCCCACCCACAGAAGCCTAGCCAGGCGGCTCTGCCCTCCCAGGCCAGGGCAGCCTCACAGTTGAGCCTGCACAAGGGTCACATGCCACAGGCACACATGCACAGGTGACAGACATCTTTATTCTGTATTTACAAAGTACCCACAACAGCCAGGCACAAATGTACACAGATGCTCACACCTGTGCACACATGTGCAAATGCGTGCACACACCCTTGGGTGCCCATTTTGGCAAAACTGAGCGTAGAGGAAGAATTTAGTGCCTTCTCTTTCCCCTTTTTCTCTCCCTATAGCACTTTCTAGCCTTTATTGTCTTTCAGTCTCCAGATGCAAGAATCAGATCCTTTCCCTTACTGTGTTAGACACTTCCTATGCTAGCACCGCCCCCACCTCAGGAATATTTGCTTTGCTGAAGGATCTTTCAGGCAAAGCTCTACCCAAATAAGTGAATTAAAAACAGAGGACTTTTGTGGCATGGTGGAGAACATATTAGGAAGGGTTTTTAGGAAACACCTTCCCCACAGCTTTGGGGGTGGGAGGAATGCATTCTGTCTCCTCCCTCCTCCTCCAGGAGGAGAGGGATTCTTCCTGGGTTCTCCAAACCCTGCCCTGCCTCTCAGCTCCTCCAGCCCAAGCCCACAGGGCCTGAGGGGTGAGGGAACATGTCATCCTGGCCAGAAGCCCCCAAAGGACCCACCGCTGCTGTCCTCCAGGCTGGGCTCAGGGAGGGGCGAAGCTGGACCGGAGATTTCCCTGTCCCCATCAGGCAGGGAGGGGCTGCTGTCCAGCTGTCCCACAGGCGGAGGCCAAGGTAGGTCTTTGATGACCTTAATGTCAACTGGAGCCAGTAGCAGAAGGGAGAAGAGAGACAGACAGTGACAGAGACAGAGAGAGGCAGAAGTTGAGACACCAAAACCCAGAGCCAGGACACAGGACAGCCTAGAAAGGAGGAGGGGCAGAGGGAGAGGCAGGGGCAGCTTCGGGGATGGAGTAGGACTCTCAGAGGCCGGGCAGAACCAACACACTGACTGCATCAGGCTGGCCTGGTCAGAGGGCGGGAGGCTTGGGTGGCAAGCTGCAGGTCACAGGGCCTTGCTCTGCCAGCCCTGTGGGCACCTTCACTTGACCTCCCACAAGCCTCCAGGGCCTATAGGGACCAGGAAAGGAGGAAAAGCAGGACAAGGAGCTGCCTGCACCTCCCAGCACCACACCCAGGTTCCCACAGCCTCCTGGCACCTCCAGCCTTGTCTCCCTTTTACCTTTTCCCTGCAGCCTAGAAACTCGAGAGCAGTGAGAAGGGGACAGCCCAGCCTCAGATTGTCAGGAATACTCAGACTTGGGGCAGATGTTTTATTGAAATTAAACCCCCAACCCCCATTCTGGGCCTCAACAATTAGAAGAGTGATGCCACTGGTGGCTGTAGGACTGCTAACAAGGTTTCCTAATGACGAGCATAGATTTTCCCATTAAGCAATCCAAACAGTATTGATTCTCCAAGGAGACTTCTGGAGATAAACGGCCCATCTCAGTGGTATGTGCTTTACAGGAAGCAAATTAGAAATCTGTGTTTCTTAGTCTGGCTGCCAGGGTGGGGAGGGCAGAGTGGAGGGCTGGGTCCAGCTCCAGGATGAGCCCCTTGCCTGAGAAGGGGTGGGGGACATGGGAGCTTGAATGAAGTCTAATGGCATCTGAGCCCTTCATGTTCTCATTGAATCAAGGATCCAGGTGTGAAAGGTCTCTCCCTGCTCCAGGCTTTTGCTCTACCCACCTCAGACCACCAAGGTGCAATTTTCTTTTCTTTTCTTTTTTTTTTTTAAAAGATGACCGGTAAGGGGATCTTAACCCTTGGCTTGGTGTTGTCAGCACCACGCTCAGCCAGTGAGCAAACCGGCCAAAAACCGGCCATCCGTATATAGGATCTGAACCTGTGGCCTTGGTGTTATCAGCACCACACTCTCCCAAGTGAGCCACGGGCCGGCCCCCAAGGTGCAATTTTCTTTTCTTTTCTTTTTTTTTTTTTTTTTAAAAGATGACCGGTAAGGGGATCTTAACCCTTGGCTTGGTGTTGTCAGCACCACGCTCAGCCAGTGAGCAAACCGGCCAAAAACCGGCCATCCGTATATAGGATCTGAACCTGTGGCCTTGGTGTTATCAGCACCACACTCTCCCAAGTGAGCCACGGGCCGGCCCCCAAGGTGCAATTTTCCACGGTGGACGTGGGCCTGGGATAGACAGTGGTGTGGCTGAGACTGGAGAAAACTGATTTTTACTCAGCATTCAGGGGATTTCTCTCAGCTTCTCAGAAATCCCCCTCAGGCCTGACACCCTGGTCTGGCAGGGCCAATCACTGGGAGACACAGCACTAGAATTCGGGTTACACACACAGCTGTTTTCATTGTTTGAAGCATTAGAATGCCTTCTTTTGTTGAATATAAGTATTTAACATATGCCACAAGTTTTATAATTTTGTTTTGGAAGTTCTTTATTTTTAAATAAACCCAGTCCCCCAAAAGATGGAAGTGGCCCAAGCGTCTTGGCCTCCAAGAGGTGGTGATGCAGGGAAACGCCTTCATCCGTATCCCGTGTCCACTTCCTGACCCTGCACACTGCCCAACTCCCCACTCTCTGTGGTATGGAACTCAATGGCACCCCTGTGGCCCTGCTCCTGGGCCTTCCTGGGTTCCTGGGGTCCATTCCTTCCATCTCCCTGAGCCTGCAAAGCTGCAAGGCTCCAGCAACCTGCCCTCTCCTCCAAGACTCACCTGCAAAGGCTTTGGAAATCCGCTCCTTCTTCCACTCCCAGGGCTGGTCATACTCCTCGGGGGGCCTCTCGTCATCCTCAGGCAGGCGGGACTCCCGGGGCCAGGGGGTCCCCTCGCCCTCTGGTGTGGCCCCCTCCTCTTCTGGCTCATAGGGTGTGTCATACAGAGGCAAGGGCTGGGCTGCTGTCTCCTTGGAGCCCCGGATCTCTGCCAGGGCAAGGCAGGAGGGAAGAGGTGTGAGCCCAGCCCTGGCCGCTGGCTCCCCTCCTCTGGCAGCACTTCTCAGCAATGAACCATGCCTCCTTCAGAGGAGATGCCCTGGCTCTGGGGGGAGCCCAGCAGCCAGACATCCTGCATCCCTCACCCTTAAAACACTTCTGCGGCTCCAAAAGCATGGGACCCAAGGAAGGCAGGGGCAGACAGGTGCCAGAGTGAAAGACAGAAGAAGGATGCCATGATGGCCAGCGAGGGCTGGGTAGCTGAAGTCCACATGTTTAGGTAACGGAGGCACGGTTCTCCTTTAGTCCATCTCCTCCTCGTTGCCCAGCTCCATTTACTTCCTTGTGTCCCAAGTGGTGTCATTTCACAATCAGAAAATCTTTCTTTGTTGCTCAAAAACTCTGACTCCCTCCTTCAAACTTTCCCCTTTGACAAGTCATTTTCATGGACTGTCCTCTCTCTGGTCACCCCCATTTGGTCTCGTTCCCTGGATCCTCTCTTGGCCTCTGTTCCCCAGGCCAGGTCTTATTCATACCCCCTACATCCCTTGAAGTACTTGCCAAGTCTCATGGCATCTACTGCATCTATATCTCACGTGTTTTCATTGCCATTAAGAGGTTTCACTCTGACATCACATCATTTCAGACTCACCACCTTCTCCAAAGGTAGAGAGTAATTCTCTTTTTGGGATCATTAACCACAATGAAAATCTGCTAAAAGCTATGGAGCTACTACCCAGAAAAATGTGCAGTCAAATGTTCACATACAATTCCAGGGCATTCATGGATCTCCCGGGTGTCCACACCCCTCTGACCTCTAAATAGGGTAGCCACCCTCTCACTTTATCCATTTCAGTCAATTTTGCTGTTCTCCTTGAACCTGGCCCTCCATTGTTCTCTGTATCCCATCTGTTCATTGCCAACACCTGATGATTTTCATCCTTGTATCCACATACCTAAATGATTGCTAGGGTGGGCCTCTATTCCACAAGCTCATGTCTCCAGGAGCTCCACGGGGTAACACTCCTGGGATAACTCTCCTGACCACTCTCTGGCCCCTCACCCACCTCTCCTGAGGAGGAAGAGCAGCTTATCTGATTGGCCAGTGAATGCTTGCTCTTTCTCAGGTCTGCCTTCTTGCAGAGAGAGAGAACATTCTGGTTCTTTCTCTTCCATGCAGTGAGTGGCCTGCCCTGTGCAGAGGCCTACAGTTGTCCTGAGTTGCCCAAGCCAGAGTGGGCAAGTTGAGTTCTGTGGCAAAGTATTAAGAAGCCCATTGAGGCTGGCCAGTTAGACCAGTGCTCATAACACCAAGGTCCAGGGTTCGATCCCTGTACCGGCCAGCCTAAAAAGAGAAAAAAAGCCCATTGTGGTTATATAGCTAAGTAATGTTCTCCCATCAACTTTATCAGTAATAAAGCCGACATTTTAATCTCCACCTGTTTCCTTATCTTATTTCTCAATTAGTTCCAAGCTCAGGAGAGGAAGAAAGGGGTATTACTGGCCCCTTAAAACTCCAACAATTTCCACAATAGCCTGATAACTCAACTTTCTGATGCTCAGTTCTTCCAGTCTATTCTGCATACCAAAGCCTCAGTAATCCTCTTAAAGTGCTACATTTATTCTGTTCCTTTCTTGCTCAAGAATTCATAATGGCTCCACTCCCCCTTTTGGAGCAAGTCCAAACACCTTCTGTTTTGGAGCAAGTCCAAACAACCTTTGAAGCACTTCACTGCCCCTCTTGGTCTCTCTCACCTTAGCTCCCATGTATGCCCAGAACTTACATTATTTGCCCCTGAATGAATCTTCCTTTCATCCTGCCTTGGGGCCTTGGCTTAGACTGACCCACCCCTGTCCGCCTCTCTGGTCACCCTCATTTTGTCTCGTTCCCTGGATCCTCTCTTGGTCTCTTTCCTCCAGGCCAGGTCTTATTCATACCCCCTACCCTAACCTCTTGAACTACTTGCCCAGCCTCATGGCACCCACTGCATCTATATTTCTAATTGTGCTTTTCCAATTGCCATAAAGATGTTTCACCTGACATCCCATGGTTTCAAACTTATCATCTTCCCCAAAGCTAGTAATTCTCTTTTTGGGGTCATTGACTCCCAGCCCATACCACTATCTTCCCTTCCTGACTATCTGCAATGCTTCTATTTGACCTTTGGTGGCAGGGCCTCCTCTACCGCCTCAGGTCTCACAAGTCACAGCTCCTTCTCCAAAATGACTATCTTGAAAGCAGTGGCCATCCTCCTAAACGACTTGGCAAAGGCTTTCTCCATATTTTCTAGGGTCCAAGGAATCAGTTCTCAGACTGTGGGTCCCAGAGCCCAGGCCTCAGGGAGCACCTCCCTTGCAACCCCATCACTCACCAGCCATCATCTTTTGGGCCTCATAGGGCTCCATGTAGCCGTCATTTTCAGGGACCTTCTCTGGGGCTCTTGAAGCTTCTGCTGAGCCTTCATCAGTCTCCCGAACATCAAATGGGTCCGCATAGTCTTCTAGGATTGCCAACTGTGGGAGGAGAGTAAAGACAGCAGGCTTTGGACAGCTGAGAGGCAGCTCTGCTTCTCCCTACATGCTCTGTCCAACCCAAGGGTGGGCTCTGAGCTTGGACAGGAACACACTCTGGCTCTTTCTTTGCAGGGTACGCCCACTAGGCTGTGAACCAACTGCTATATCTTTCTTTTCTGCTAATTTTGTTCCTCACGGCCATCTCCTAGGCTAAATGGCCAGGATGAGGCTACTGGGCCTTAGTGCCTTCCTCAGTCAGAACCAAGAAGGACAAGAGCCTACACCAGGCTCTTCATTCACAGAACTGGTTACAAAGGTATTAGAAGAGTTCAAAGAGCGAGCAGGGAACAGTGAGGCAACCCAGAGATTAGCACTGTCCACGCCTACCAGGGCACTTCCAGATGCTGAATAAACAAAAGTTGCTGACCATCAAGGAAGGAAAGGCTGAGCATTAACTTGGTCGCAGTTCTGCTGACTGATCCTCACAACCTCCCTTCCATGTGGGTATTATTATCCCCATTTTAAGGAATTGGAGGCTCAGGACAGTTAGGGAACAGCATACCAAAGACCATCCTGTATAAGTAGAGGAACCAGGATTCAAACCCATGCCCTTTGTGCAAAAGGCTGCCAACCTGCCACCAAGTGGGCATCTTGGCTGTCCTAGGACAGAGAAGGTCTTGGGGCAATCTTGAGGTTCTGCTGAAATCCCCTTGGCTCCTGGAGGACAAGGACAGGAAAGCCCTTGCCTCAGCCCTCCACTTCCCACACTGCCCCTTTCTCTCACTCAAGTGGCTCATGGACACCCCTCTATCCCTGCTTTCAGTCAAAGCAGAGCAAACCACAAGCTATACACCCTGCAGAGGTGCTCAAGGTGCTCAGGGTGGGGCACAGCTGAGGACAATAGAGCCTTTCTCCAAGCTGGGCAAGGGCTTCTCCTGGGGGTGCTGGCTGAGGCAGAGACAGAGCCCAGCCCACCCAGAGCTGCCAGCACTGCACAGCTGGGCTGACAGGCGATGACAGGAGGTGGCTCTGGGCCCCATGGCATGGGGAGAGGTCACTCTTGCCTTTCTCTGGATAGCCTTTCTCCAAGCTGGGCAAGGGCTTCTCCTGGGGGTGCTGACTGAGGCAGAGACAGAGCCCAGCCCACCCAGAGCTGCCAGCACTGCACAGCTGGGCTGACAGGAGGTGGCTCTGGGCCCCATGGCATGGGGAGAGGTCACTCTTGCCTTTCTCTGGATCTCGGTCTAGGCTTTGGTTCTGAACTAGATCAGGGCTGTGGGACCCAGCTGGGCTGGGAGGCCATGGGGGTGACTGCCCTGCCTTGGTTTAGAGGATCTGGGAATGGGAACCCTTAGCAAGGCAGAGATGGAGAAAAGAATCTCCTCATCTCAGAGACCCCTTCAGCATGTTCCTTTGACCCCTGCTAGCCCCTCTAGGGGTCTCTGAGGCTCAACCCAATGTTCCTACCACATCACCTTCAGGTCTTCAGCTCCCACTTGTTCCAGTCAAGCCCTCGACTCCTTCATGCCCCTTGCATCTCTGCCTGCTTGTGGGCTAACCATCATCTCAGATCATCCCTTCACCACCACCAGATCATCCGTTAGCCTGGAGCTCTTTGTCATTTTTGTGTCTCTACCTCCAATGAGCTCCTGGCATACAGCAGTCTTTAGAAGAAATGTTTCTACTAGATTACCACCTCTCTCTCCTCAGAGTTTTTAACGCTAGTTGTCCTTCCTCCAGGACACAGAGAAAAGAAATCCACTCACCCCCCCGCCCCACTCTGCTTCCTCCCAGGCCACCGGCACCCACAGCCCCACCCCTTGGCCATGGGGGCTCTGGAGCCAGCTCACTGTGTCTGCTTCTGACGGTCAGCATCCAGCCTCACACTTACACGTGGCAGCTACTCAACAGTGTCTGAATCTACTGGCACACTATTCTTAAACCTACAATGGCTCTCCAGGGCTTTAAGAAAAGCCTGAAGTTACAGAGATTGAAAAGGTTCCACTTTCCTCTCTGGTTTCTCTCTACCCACCTTGAATTCATCACTTTGTTACCTGGAAGCTCTATGCTCTTGCTTACCTCAAATGCTTTCCCTCTGCCTACATCACTTTCCCCTTCCGCCCGAACTGGCTAGCCCTCATGGATTATTTTCTTTCTTCAGAAGCCTTTCCATACTCCCCACAGGCCTGTTAAGTGCCTCTGTGCTGGGCTATTATCATATTCTATGGTAAATATTTGTTTTATTGTATGTCTTTCTGCAGACTGTGAGCTTCCTGAGGGCAGGAATCATGTTTACTGGTAAATTCCCAGTGCCTGAAAGCTCTTAGTAAATCTGGGTTAAATCCATTCAATAAAACAGGAAGAATGGACAAAGGAAGCACTCTTCCCTGTTCATTCAGAAGACTGAGGAAGCACAAATCTGGGTGGAGTGGGGTAGGGTCTGAGGGCACTGAGTCTTTCCAAGCGAAGCTGTGTCCCTAGAAGCTGCTTAATGAGCAGAAGCGCCTGGTCCAAGCCCCCAACACCCTCCTCCCGCTCCCTGCCACCACAGAGCCCCTCCAGCCCCTCCCTCACCAAGTCTGGTCAGACTGCATGAGCACCCTTCCCACTGGAGTCCTGGGCCTGTGCCCAGAGCCACGACCCCTCCCAGGCTGGCGTGGGCCTTCCCAGCCCCAGCCTGCGGTACCCGTGGGCGCCCAGGTGGCAGCTCAATGGCTCCTCTGTTCCATTCCAGGCTCCACACCCTGCTCCAGGAAGCCCCAGCCTCCCGCCCTGGGCTGGGGCACCCAGAGGAGCCACCCACAGGGCCAGGAATCAGAAGTAGCAGCAGAGATGCCAGCTGGGAAGGCTGGTAGGACGGGCGCCCACCCTGGGCACAGAGGATCACAGTCAGAGACCAGGCCTGCTTTCCCAGTGGCTTCTAGATCCCTGAGGAGATAAACTGCTCAGTGAAAGAAGTTGCCCCATAGGCTTCTGACACCTTTGACCTACTACAATTTGTTATTTTGTTTATAGCCCTTTGCCCAGCTCTGATGTACTCACTGCTGTATCCTGCACGCATCACAGGCCTAGCACACAGTAGGTGCTCAATGCACTTTTACTGGATGCTCCGAAGGCCTCCTTCTCCCCAGACTCCATCACCTGGAGTGACACCAACTTTCAGATCCCAATTCACCATGACCTCTGAGCAGCAGTGGCTGTAGGACTCGGCTGTCAGGAGAATCCACATTTGAATAGGGATCAAAGGCTCTGGCTCAAAAACAGAAGAGAGGAACTGCTGGCAAAGGGTCTCTGGGGAAGGCACCTAAAACCAGGGCTGATATTTAGGCATATCCTCTGGTACAGCCAGAAAGCTGTTGAAGTCCTGAAATATTTTCAAACTAGGAGGTAAACTAGCTGCTACCCAGAAGGCCCCCAACCCCCTCCCTCCTGCCACCCAGCAGGGTGCCTCCCAACCCTGCTATTGTGTCTGTTCCAATTGGGCAGTGCCCTTCCCAGAACAGCTGTCATACTTTGAATCTCCTTCCTGCCCAAGCCTCTCCTGAGGTAGCTAGCAGGCCCACCATTTGGTTTGGTCTCCCACTCTGCAGCTGGGCCATGCAACACATTCCTGACCCACCCACGGGGTTCCAAAGGGTGTGAGTCTAGGAGGATCAAGGGGGCACATGTTACAGGATGTTCTCCCTACCACTGCCCCTTTCCTCCACTTCTTTAGTTTACACTTAATGTCTGGAAACTGCTACCTTATTTTTCTGTAGAATGAGGATGATAATGGTACCTTTCTCATAGGGTTGGAAATAGGAAAATGAATTTGTAAAAGTTCTTAGCCCAGAGGCTGGCATGGAGTCAATGCTCAATAAATGTCAGTTCTGATGATAAACTTTTATGTTCAGGTATTAAGGCCTCAGAGTTTAGGTGCTTGCCCCAAATACACAGTTTGTCAGCAGCAAAGACAAGACTGGGACCAGATCTCCTCACTGTTAGTGACTTATCAGACTCCAAAAATTTGAGAGATGCAGCATCTTGCAGATTGTAGCTGTAGCAAAGAACCAGTCAAATTTTGTTTAATTCAGTATTTCCCCAAAGTATTTAACCATAGAAGCCCTTTGTCATGTAACACCTATTAACCTGTCACAGTTTGGGAAATGGTACACTACTCACCCTCCACAAGATCAAACTTTTTGTATCTGCTATTCCTACTTATTGAAATGCCCTTCTATTTTATCTGCCTGGGAAATTCTTTCATGTGAAACAAATTTGTTATTTTCCTTTTCTAATTACAAGAACATGTCATGCTCATAAAACATTCAAACATTACAGACATGCGATCAATGCCGCCAGCCTTTATGAGACCCTTGGGTGTGTCTGTGGCTATCTCGGGATCGGGTGGCCAGTGGTGGTCTCCAGTATTCAGGAAATGGTGAACTCAGTACAGAATCCTCATTCCTTCTCTAAGAGTCTCCCTCTTCTTGTTCATTAGCAAATGCTTAGTGAACATCTCCTCTCTGCCAGACACCTGGTGCTGGGGTCCCAAGCATGGTGCTTACTGGCAGCGAGTCTGGAGTCAGGCTGCCTGGCTGTGAACCTCAGCTGTATTACTTGCTAAATGAGAAACCGTGCAAATGTGACTCAACATTCTTGTGCTTCAGTTTCCTTATATATAACCTTGGGATAGTAATAGAATCTTCCTTATAGGGTTGTTATAAGGATCAACTGGTCTAATACACGTCAGCTGCTTCAAAATAGTACCAGACACAAGGCAGGTGCTTAGTAAATGTCAGCCACTATATTATTAAAGTTGAAAAGACCAAGTTTCTGGATCCTCCAGGAGCTCACAATGACAGACACAAAATAAGCTCCAAGGGAACAAAGCACCTTGAGGTGATGTGAAGGCCTAAGACCAGGGCACCAGGCTCTGGGGGCACCACAGGTCCACTGACTGCAAGGTTTGGGCCCTACCTTCACTCTCACATAATATCATGCTGGTTCTGTGGTGAGGGCAACTGGGGTGGGCAGCAGGTACC